TGAGGGCAGGTGGGAGAGAGGCTGAGTTGGTGGGAGTAGAGTTAAGAGCAGCCACATTTGGGAAACATTTGCTAGATCTGGACTTGTGGGAAGGACCCTGGAGTACTTCCACTCAAGTACCTTCTGGGGGTTTCCATGGATACATCATTTTTATGCTCTAGAGTGTGGTTTGAAGTTTCTTTCTTTCCTGATGGGTATAGGGAAAGGTGGGAGGAGGTAAACAAAAACAAAAATGAAAACATTTGGAGGGAAATTGGCTTGAGAATCTCACAAAAGAAGTTTAGTATATTTAATTAGAAAGGAAAGGGTTTAAGGTGGAAATAGCTGGCCAGAGTCACATTCTTTTTTTTCTTTTTCTTTTTTTTTTACTTTAAGTTCTGGGGTACATGTGCAGATCTTGCAGGATTGTTGCATAGATACACACATGCCATGGTGGTTTCCTGCCTCCATTCCCCTGTCACCTACATCAAGCATTTCTCCCAATGTTATCCCTCACCAACCTCCACACCCACTGCTCTCCTTCCCCTAGGCCCCCACCCCCAACAGACCCAGTGTGTGATGCTCCCCTCCTTGTTCCCATGTGTTCTCATTGTTCAACGCCTGCCTGTGAGTGAGAATATGCTGTTTCGTTTTCTGTTCTTGTGTCAGTTTGCTGAGAATGATGGTTTCCAGATTCATCCATATCTCTACAAAGGACATGAACTCATCGTTTTTTATGGCTGCATAGTATTCCATGGTGTATATGTGCCACATTTTCTTTGTCCAGTCTATCATTGATGGGCATTTGGGTTGATTCCAAATCTTTGCTATTGTCAACAGTGCCACAATGAACATACGTGTGCATGTGTCTTTATAACAGAACAATTTATAGTCCTTTGGTTATATATTCAGTAATGAGATTGCTGGGTCAAATGGAATTTCTGTTTCTAGATCCTTGGGGAATCACCGCACTGTCTTCCACAATGGTTGAACTTATTTACACTCCCACCAACAGTGTAAAAGTGTTCCTATTTCTCCACATCATCTCCAGCATCTGTTGTCTGCAGACATTTTAATGATTACCGTTCCAACTGGCGTGAGATGATATCTTGATGTGGTTTTGATTTGCATTTATCTAATGACCAGTGATGATGAGCATTTTTCATACGTTTGTGGGCCTCATGAATGCCTTCTTTTGAAAAGTGTCTGTTCATATCCTTTACCCACTTTTGAATGGGTTTGTTTGTATTTTTCTTGTAAATCTGCTTTAGTTCTTTGAAGATTCTGGATATTGGCTCTTTGTCAGATGGGTAGATTGCAAAATTTTTTTCCCATTCTGTTGGTTGCCAGTTCACTCTAATGATTGTTTGTTTTGCTGTGCAGAAACTCTTAAGTTTAATTAGATCGCATTTGTCTATTTTGGCCTTTGTTGCCATTGCTTTTGGTGTTTTAGCTATGAAGTCCTTGCCTATGCCTATGTCCTGAATGGGATTGCTTAGGTTTTCCTCTAGGGTTTTTATTGTTTTAGATCTTATGTTTAAATCTTTCATCCATAGGAGTTAATTTTAGTGTAAGGTTTCTGGAAGGGGTCCAGGTTTTGCTTTCTACATATAGTTAGCCAGTTTTCCCAACACCATTTGTTAAACAGGGAACATTTCCTCATTGCTTGTTTTTGTCAGGTTTGTCAAAGGTCAGATGGTTGTAGATGTGTGGCGTTACTTCTGAGGCCTCTGTTCTGTTCCATTGGTCCATATCTCTATTTTGGTACCAGTACCATGCTGTTTTGAGTACTGTAGCCTTGTAGTATAGTTTGAAGTCAGGTAGCTTGATGCCTCTGGCTTTGTTCTTTTTGCTTATGATTGTCTTGGCTATGCAGGCTCTCTTTTGGTTCCACATGAAGTTTAAAGTGCTTTTTCCAGTTCTGTGTAGGAGGTCATGGGTAGCTTGATGGGGATAGTGTTGAATCTATAAATTATTTTGGGCAGTATGGCCATTTTCATGTTATTGATTCTTCCTAACCAAGATCATGGAATGTTTTTCCATCTGTTTGTGTCCTCTCTTATTTCCTTGAGCAGTGGTTTGTAGTTCTGCTTGAAGAGGTCCTTTACATCCTTTGTTAGTTGTATTCTTAGTATTTTATTCTTTTTGTAGCAATTGTGAATGGGAGTTTTCTCATTATTTGGCTCTCTGTTTCTTTGTTATTGATGTGTAGGAATGCTTGTGATTTCTGCCCATTGATTTTCTATCCTGAGACTTTGCTGAAGTTGCTTATCAGCTTAAGGAGATTTTGGGCCGAGATGATGGGGTCTTCTAAATATACAATCATGTTGTCTGCAAATAGAGACAATTTGACTTCCTTTTTTACTACTTGAATACTCTTTATTTCTTTTTCTTGCCTGATTACTCTCACTAAAACTTCCAATACTATATTTAATAGGAATGGTGAGAGAGGGCATCCTTTTCTAGTGCCAGATTTCAAAGGGAATGCTTCCAGTTTTTGCCTGTTCAGGACGATGTTGGCTGTGGATTTGTTGTAAATGGCTTTTATTATTTTGAGATATGTTCCATCAATACCTAGTTTATTGAGTTTTTAGCATAAAGTACTGTTGAATTTTGTTGAAGGCCTTGTCTGCATCTATTGAGATTATCATGTGGTTTTTGTCTTTGGTTCTGTTTAAGTGATAGTTTACCTTTATATATTTGCTTATGTTGTACCAGCCTTGCATCCCTGAGATGTAGCCTGCTTGATTGTGATGGATAAGCTTTTTGATGTGCTGCTGCATTCAGTTTGCCAGTATTTTATTGAAGGTTTTTGTATCGATGTTCATCATGGATATTGGCCTGAAGTTTTCTTTTTTAATTGTGTCTCTGACAGGTTTTGGTATCAGGATGATGTTGGTCTCATAAAATGAATTAAGGAGGATTCCCTCTTTTTGTATTGTTCGGAATAGTTTCAGGAGGAATGGTACCAGCTCCTCTTTGTACATCTGGTAGAATTTGGCTGTGACCCCATCTGGGCCAGGAATTTTTGGTTGGTAGGCTATTAATTGATGCCTCAACTATAGCCCTTGTTATTGGTCTATTCAGGGATTCAACTTCTTCCTGGTTTAGTCTTGTGAGGGTGTAAGTGTCCAGGAGTTTATCAATTTCTTCCAGGTTTACTGGCTTATGTGCATAGAGTTGTTTGTAGTAATTTCTGATGGTAGTTTGTATTTCTGTGGAATCAGTGGTAATATCCCTTTTATCATTTTTCATTTTGTCTATTTGATTCTTCTCTCTTTTCTTTTTCATTATTCTAGCTAGTGGTCTGTCTATTTTGTTGATCTTTTCAAGAAACTAGCTCCTGGATTTATTTATATTTTTGAATGGTTTTTTGTGTCTCCTTCAGTTCTGTTCTGATCTTAGTTATTTCTTGTCTTCTGCTAGCTTTTGAATTTTTTTGATCTTGCTTCTCTAGCTCTTTCCATTTTGATGATAGGGTGTCAATTTTAGATCTTTCTTTGCTTCTCATATGGGCATTTATTGCTATATATTTCCCTCTAGATACTGCTTTAAGTGTGTCCAAGAGATTCTGGTACATTGTGTCTTCATTCTCATCGGTTTAGAAGAACACCTTTATTTCTGCCTTCATTTCATTGTTTATCCAGTCATCATTCAGGAGCCAGTTGTTCAGTCTCCATGTAGTTGTGTGGTTTTGAGTTAGTTTCTGAATCCTGAGATCTAAGTTGATTGCACTGTGGTCTGCAAGACTGTTTGTTATGATTTCCATTCTTTTGCATTTGCTAATGAGTGACTTTCTTACACTTATATGGCCAATTTTAGAGTAAGTGTGATGCGATGCCAAGAAGAATGTATATTCTGTGTATTCGGTGGAGAGTTCTGTAGATGTCTGTTAGGTCCACTTAGTCTCGATCTATATTCATGCTTTGGATATCCTTGTCAATTTTCTGTCTTGTTGATCTGTATAATGTTGACAGTGGAGTGTTAAAGTCTCCCACTATTATTATGTGGGAGGCTATGTCTCTTTGTAGATCATTAAGAACCTGCTTTATGTATTGGGGTGCCCCAGTATTGGATGCATATATTTTTAGAATAGTTAATTCTGCTTGTTGCATTGATTATTTTACCATTATATAATGCCCTTCTTTGTCTCTTTTGATCTTTGTTGGTTTAAAGTCCATTTTGTCAGATACTAGAATTGCAACCCTTGTTTTTTTTTTTTTTTTTTTCTCTCCATTTGCGTGGTAAATCTTCTTCCATTCCTTTATTTTGAGTCTATGTGTGTCTTTGCACATGAGATGGGTTTCTTGAATACAGCCCACCAATGGATCTTGATTTTTATCCAGTTTGCCAGTCTGTGTCTTTTGATTGGTGCATTTAGGCCATTTACATTTAATGTTAATATTGTTATGTGTGAATTTTATCCTGCCATTTTGTTACTGGCTGGTTGTTTTACCTGTTAGTTGATGCAGTTTCTTCATTGCATTGTTGGTCTTTATCATTTGGTAAGTTTTTGCAGTGGCTGGTACTAGTTGCTCCCTTCCATGTTTAGTGCTTCCTTCAGGAGCTTTTGTAAGGCAGGTCTGGTGGTGATGAAATCTCTCAGCAATTGCTTGTCTGTAAAGGACTTTTTTTCTCCTTCACTTATGAAGCTTATTTTGGCTGGATATGAGATTCTGGGTTGAAAGTTCATTTCTTTATGGATGTTGAATATTGGCCCCCACTCTCTTCTGGCTTGTAGGTTTTCTGCCAAGAGATCTGCTGTGACTCTGATGGGCTTCCCTTTGTGGGTGACCCGGCATTTCTTTCTGTCTGCCCTTAGCATTTTTTCCTTCATTTCAACCTTGGTGAATCTGACAATTATGTGCCTTGGGGTTGCTCTTCTTGCGGAATATCTTTGTGGTGTTCTCTGTATTTCCTGGATTGAGTGTTGGCCTGCTTTGCTAGGTTGGGGAAGTTCTCCTGGATAGTATCCTGAAGAGTGTTTTCCAGCTTGCATTCATTCTCCCCATCGTCTTCAGTATAGAGTACGTCTTTTCACATAAGCCCATATTTCTTGGTGGCCTTGTTCATTACTTTTCACTCTTTTTTCTCTAATCTTGCCTTCTCATTTTATTTCACAGTCTCTGATATCCTTTCTTCTGCTTGATTGATTTGGCTATTGAAACTTGTGAATGCTTTACAAAGTTCTTGTACTGTTTTTCAGCTCCATCAAGTCTTTTATGTTCTTCTCTAAGCTGGTTATTTTAGTTGGCATTTTGTCTAACATTTTTTCAAGGTTTTTAGTTTCTTTGCATTGGGTTAGAACATGTTCCTATAGCTCAGAGAAGTTTGTTATTACCCACAATCTGAAGCCTGCTTCTGTCAATTCATCAAACTCATTCTGCATCCTGTTTTGTTCCCTTGATGCGAGGAGTTGTGATCCCTTGGAGGAGGAGAGGCATTCTGGTCTTGGATGATTTCACCCTTTTTGCACTGGTTTCTTCCCATCTTTGTGGATTTATCTACCTTTGATCTTTGAAGTTGATGGTTTTGGATGGGATCTCTGAATGGAAATTCTTCCTGTTGATGTTGATTTCTTTTTTAGTTTTCCTTCTAACAGTCAAGCCCCTCTGCTGTAGGACTGCTGGAGGTCCACTCCAGACCTTGCTGGCCTGAGAATCACCATTGGGGGCTGTAGAACAGCTAATATTGCTGCCTGATCTTTCCTCTGGTAGCTTCATCCCAGAAGGGTACCCGCCAGTGGTCAGCCAGAGCTCTCCTGTATGTGGCATCTTTTTGGTTATGCTGGGGTCAGGGAGTGACTTGAGGAGGCAGTCTGTCCCTTGTCTGCCTGCATAGGTGCTGCTGGGCTGCCACAGGCTCAGTCCAGCTGGTGTATAAGCTTCCTCTGGCTTTTGTTTACACTGGTAAGATCAGCTATGGCGGATGCCCTTCCCCCCACCGATTTTGATCATCTTTGGTCAAGCTCGAATTGATGTGCTGGCTGCAAAACTCTCAAGCAAGAGTGCTTCAGTTCGCTAGTCTCTGTGGGGTGGGCCTGCCAAGCCATATCACCTGTCTCTCCGCTTTTAGCTTCCCCTCTTTCTGGGGAGTGGGGAGTTCCATCCTGCAGTTGCTCTTGGCACTAGTCTACAACATCCACCCAGATCTGTGCTGACAACCTGCAGCTCTGGCTATAGCTGCTGCTCAGATCTGTGCTAGTAACTCGTGGTGCTTTTCAGCCTGGCGGGGATCTCTTTGTCTGTGGGTTTCAAAGGTCACAGGAGAAGGGCAATATCTGAACCGGAGTACCAGAGGGGAAGAGTCCCCAGTCCTCCATCCAGTTGCACTTCCCGGGTGGGACAGCCCCCTGCCCTTCCTTGGTTTGCTCTCCTTGGGCTACACCGCTGTCCAACCAGTCCCATTGAAATGAACCTGGTACCCCGGTTGGAAATGTGGAGATTGCTCACCTTCTGTGTTGCTCTCACTGGGAATTCTGCTCTGGAGCTGTTCCTATTTGGCCATCTTGGCTGAATTGGATCCAGAGTCAAATTCTTTTAATTTCTGATCTAATTAGTTGCTTAATATAGTATAAAAATGAGCAAGCTTTACTAAAGCAAAATGGAAGACTTCTAGGCAAGACTGAAATCCACATTGCATTTTATTTTGGCCAGGAGATCTTCTTTGAAATTGAATAGGAAAACATATTAGACTAGATGGTCTGGTATTAACTCCAATTGGGATGGTCAAGAGAGTCCTTGAACTTCAGTGCCTAAACAAAGAATGAACTTGAACTAGCTGAGGATATCTGACTCCCTGTGTAACTGCAGAAACAGAATTGCTATGTAAATGGGTTTATGATCATATGGCAGAGAGAATGTTCCTTCAGTGTTTAGTGCTATGTTTGAAAACAAGAAAGCTTTTTTTGCTTTCTCCATTCTGGTGAAAGTTAGGTATGTGCTTTCTTCTTTGAATGAAAAGCAAAGGCAAGAGTGTTGCTCTTTTACCTTCAATTTTTCTGACACTGGAAGGAATCTCTCAGACTCCTGAATTATACAAGTCTAGAAGGAACACAGATTATTCTTTAGGCTAACTTAATACAAATTAATATGAGTTGCTTAAATTTATGTCATGTATGTCAGTCTTATGGGACCTTTACCTTTAAAATACTATGATTATTGTTCAATAAAACAATATTAAGAGGTCTGACCTCAGGTAGGAGAGTTCTCAAAGCATTTAAGTGGAGAACTACAATCCCTGGAACAAGATGACCTTCCTATTCTTTGCTTCTGAATATGTTTCAAAAATTAGATATGACATTATACTTAATGTGAGAAGCTGGATACTTCCTTGCTAAGATCAGGAGCAAGACAAGAATGTCTGTTTTCACCACTTCCATTTAACATTGTAACAGATGCTTCTGTTTGGTCGTTTGGACAAGAACAACCAAAAGCATCAGAGTGGAAAGGAAGAAATACAATTATTTCTTTTTTGAGATAGAGTTTCACTCTTTTTGCCCCAGCTGGACTATAATGGTGCAATCTTGACTCACTACAACCTCCACCTCCCAGGTTCAAGTGATTCTCTTGCCTCAGCTTCCCAAGTAGCTGGAATTACAGGTGTGTGCCACTACACCTGGCAAATGAGACACCATTTTACATACAATATGATGGCTATAATAGAAAAGACAGACAAGAACAAATGTTCAAAAGATGCAGAGAAATTGGAACCCTTATAAATTTGCTGGAGGGAATGTAAAATGTTGCAGCCATTTTGGAAACAGCTTGGCAATGGAGAATTACCATGTGACTACCTACCAATTTTACTCCTAGTTTTCTATCTAAGAGAAATGAAAACATCCATCCCCCCAAAAACTTGTACATGAAAGTTCATAGCAGCATATATGAATGTTCATAGCAATGTTTGGTTATTATTCATAATATGAATAATTATTATGAATATATGAAAGTATCAACATTATTATGAATAGGAATATAATGAATGACTGAAATACAAATGAATATAATGAATATGAATATAATATGAATAATATTATGAATAATAACCAAACATTGGGGACTACCTTAAACTGATAAATGGGTAAGTGAAATGAGATGTGCTGTTTCTATACAATAAAATATTATTCTGAAATGAAATGAAGTATTGACATATGGTATGACATAGTTGAAACTTGAAAAGTGAAAGAGGCTAGAAGTCAGCTGCAAAACACCCACATATTTCATGATTCCATTAATATGAAATGTCTGGAAGACACAAATCCATATCTAGAGGAAGTAGATAAATGGTGATTTAGGCTGTGGCAGTAGGAGTTAGGGGAAAATAAGGTGGGATTGCTAGCGTGATGGCTGTGGAATTTCTTCTCGGGTGATGAAAACATTCTAAATATAGTTCATGGTAATGGTCATATGTATCTGTGAATATGCTAAAGCCATTGAAATTTCCAGTTTAAACAGGTGAATTCCTTCGTATGTGAATTATATCTTAATAAACATATTTAAGATAAAATAGGATCTTAAGTCTGGAAATCTAAATTGTGCGCTGCATAATAATTTTCTCTTTCTGTTTCTCCTTGCTTGGTTGATATTAAAATGAACATAGGATTATTTTTTCTACCTATAGTTGGCCAATTACATATGGTTAGTTCACTTTCTTATGTAGAGCTTCACTGTGTGTAGGCAAAGACCAGATCACTACAGGGTGAACAGGAAAAGGTTATATTCCCTAAGCACCAAAAACCTGATTCCAGTATATGCCTAATGCTTGGTGCTCCAAAATAAAAGAGGCTTTCTGTCTTAAAAACTTTTTTTCTTTACCTATTATCTAATGTATTGATTACGTCTAATCAACAATGAGACCTCGCTAATCTAATACAGGATGGTAAATGGAGTTTTACAAATAGTAAATAAGAATATGAATAAGAAAATCTTACTCTAAGTCTTATGATGAGAAATAGAATAAGACTCAGCTCTGGAATGTTGTAAAGGTGAGGTGTGTCTCCTTCCATGGACATGTTTCACTGAAGAAGTAGAGTAATAATAACTCAGTAAAAATCACTGCAAACATTTGTACCACTCTTTCTAGTTTGCATGGCTCCCTGCCTAACCATTACCATTGCCTCACTTAATGCTCCCAACATCCCATGTGAGGTGAATATTTCTACCTCCAATGTAAAGAAGAGGCAAGGATGGTTATGCACCAAGATACCCTAGTTCAAACTCTGGGCCACTACTGAAAGTCAGTGATTCTGTGTGACTTTACATGGAAGAATTTTGAAGAATACCTGGAAGACAATTTTCTAAAAAAGCAAATAGGAAAAATCTTTCTGAGGGAGTGAATTCAGGCAGCCCAGGCAACCTCTAGAAAATGGGTAAAGGCATTGCTCTGTAAATTGTGACACCATCACTGAAGCACCTCATGGTAGAGAGAAAGGGCTTCATTGATTTGGACGTGCACTTAAAGGCTCATTTTGCTTAATGTGGAGGCTTTGTTAAGTTTGTTATTTTTCTCACTATGGAGAGAAAGCAATAAATGAAATTGCTACTTGGTTTTAAATCTGAATCATAACAGATTCAGATTCAGGTGGGATCTGGAAATAATGGGAACTGTAGAAAGTGTGAAAAGGTTATCACTGAATGATTCTGTCAAGAAATGGATGTGTTAGGGATCATACTTAACTTGGAGTTTAGGAGAGCAGTTTCAAAAAGTCAGGAAAAAGTCGGATAATTCCATAGCCAGAGAATCTAAAGGGAAGATGCCCAGGAGGTATGGAAAGTTCTGACGGCCAAATTCTGACCTTTAACTTGAAGAGTAAAATAAAGAGAAAAAGGTTCAAGAAAAGCAGCATGATTTCCCAGGGTGCTCTTTGAGAAACTGGGAAAGGACTCAGCCTAAAGGTGGAAGGAGGCTCCCAAAATTGTGGCTACAAAATCATGGCATGGTCTATGATAATAAAGCTAGCTATGCACAGCATCAGAGTGGGCTGAAGTTTTCTAAAAATACCAGAGAAATTTAAAAGGAGATTTTTTAAAGTATTGATTGAAAACAGCAAGGAAGTGTGGGGCTCGTAACAAGGACAATGGAGATGGAAAGAGACCCACAAAACGGGACCACTCA